TGAATGATTTATACGAAGCAATTTAAGCGAAAAATTTAAAGCTTCTAGAGGACGCAAGCAGACCCAAGAAAAGTTGGAACAACTGATAAAATTACTTTTTTGAAAGAACCACCGTCTTGTTTGAATTGTTTGATAGATTAAGCACCAGTGAATAGTTAACGGTCCTCCTCTTCCACTTTCACAGCAGTCTTTGTCATTATTAATAAATTAGTTTTCGCATTTCTCACGGTCAAACTGTAAAAAAAAAAAGTAACCTTATTCTATCCCATTTCGAAACAAAAATTATACTGGATATATATCTGAACGAAAGCATTGTTGCTATTACTGCAAACATTAAGCATGTCATGATATTATTTTACATGATTTCAAATATCAAGAAGTCCACGGAGCAAACTCAGTCTGTAAGCCCATAGATGAGACAGTGCAGAAATTGTGACGTTAAGAGTAGCAACAGCAATGTTGGAAAACCTATGTTATAAAAGTGATACATTGATGAAGATTGATCCTAAAAACAATGCCAAAATTATACAGAGTGCAATATGCTTTTTTGGGAACAACATAATTTGCACTATGTTTACATAACGCATTACTTTTTTCTGTTTCTTTCTCAGAAATTCTGTCCAGAAACCAATTATCTTTAAGCACAGATAACCAGTTATCTTTAAAAGATTAAAAGTATTTAAGCACATTATGTAGATGCGTGGTGTTATTTTATCAGTTGCACAACCAGTCTTCTGTCCTCTCTTACCCAATTTAGCATCTCACTCAGGAAAAATCCGTACGACTTATACCAGACGACAATCGCAAACACCCCAAATAGTCAACAGCCAATTTTCTTGCTTTTACTCAAATAAGAAATTATCCATAAATTCGATAAAAAAGGAAAACAAAAAACCCCATAGTCATGACTGTGAAAGCTCGACAACAATTCAGTCAGTTTTCATTTAACAGTTTTCGCGAAAAACAAAGAAAAGTTAATGAGGAAGGAAAATGATAAAGAATAATGAGGTAATGAGGAAAATGATAAAGAAATAATGAAAATAGTTGAATAACAATGGAAAAAATGAAGAAAAATTCATGACTCTAGAAAACATTCATGATTTCTAAAAAACAATAAACGATCGTAGATGCTACCACAATCTCTGTTTTTATTTATAGAGTGTAGATAAATTTTATTTTTATTATTCCATTTAAAATGTCCTTTTACGCGAAACTTGCATTTAAAAAGGAAATGGTCATATATCTCTTGCTCAATCAAAAAAATTAGGAAAGCATTGCAAACAGCTGCATATGGAGCTCTAATCAAGTAACAGTACCAAAAACGCGATCCTGAGAAAAACGTCTGAATAAAAATTTTTTCGCGTACCAACTTCTGCGATTCTCTGTCGTTCACTTTTCAAGAATGGTTTTTGTAATAAAATTTCTTTCACTTTGTGATTTATTTCCCTAATTCAGTGGGAGAGTACGCGTGGCGCTATAGGTGGTAAAATTACAAGCATAACCATTGGCAAATGACATTCGGCTAACTCACAGTAATGTTAGGTTAAAGAGTGCAGAGCAACAAGAACCATATATGAAAGAAATTTACAAACATATAGGAAGGAATTATTAAGCAGTGTTCATCGGCTTTCCTCTGGTAAACAGCCCGTTTTTCCCAAAGTTACATATTTGTCTTAATCTCACCAAGTATTGAATTGGCTACCACGATTGATTAAGTACAGTTTCAATTCCTAAGAAATGCTGGAAAACTGAACGAAATCATCGGCTATCAAGGAAATATGATAATGAATGAGGAACAATATGCTGTCCTATTACGAATATTACCAAAATTCAAGTTTATACAAATACTTTTGTTCCGCAAACAAAAAGTTCAAAAACAATAATTTACGAATCACGGACGAAAAGACAAACCTTCATGACTGCCATAATTTACTCACCATCACTGATGGTACGTAATTATAATCGCAAATTACCACAATTATAATCGCGAGTGACCCCCTCCAATTAGGCATACGTTATAACATCCCCTCTTCAGTGCAGTCCTTTCCTACTCCATTCAAACATGACGCCGGCATTGATTATTTCTTTTCTGCTTCATTCACATGTACGAAATCCGCCATGTCCTACCGAGCCTTAAATTTTCTTAATATTAATGTTCAAGTGACCATAAACAATCGATGATGATTACTATTTCGCTGGAACGCTGGAAGTGTTTCGGTTATCAAGCCTTATAACACACAATCCGAAAGCAGTGACATGCGCCCGCTTTATCAGATTTTTCGTGTACTATCTTGACAGGTCCAAAAGATGGAATTCTTTTGCATTAGAATTTGCGAATTAAAAATATAATGACAGTCCCACCAGTCAAATGAACTTAAATCCTCCTAAACCATTGAAAGGACAAGTTCACAATAAAATGAAGCATTCGATATTGCACATCGTTACTTTATATGTTTTCACAACAAGAAACGAACTTTTACTCCATGCAACGAGGTTAAGATTTCCGGTATGAGAATGTTTGGGGTTTCGTTGTATCAAAGTATCATCTTTATCACAAGACAAAAAGTGATTACATTCATAAAACAGAGCATTCAAATGGCAGTCAAATAAAAGCTGATAATAATGTTTATATATGAGAAATATACGACCAACCAATTAGTGGAAATAGTAGTGGGACGGATTCCAAATGGCAAAGGAACAGAAACTTTGAAGTTGGATGAAGCAGGAGGTTCACTAGTTTCTCATGGCTTATCATCATCAAAAAACTTCATCACCAAAGTGAAACGTTGCATGAAATGCACCGGCATGATTGATAATGCTAAATGAAGTTAATTAGATGAAAGTAAAAAGTGCTAAAATTCTTAAGTGAGCATAAATCGACAATTTAAAATTTGCCTGTTGGAAGAACAGAAGCCCTGCCAGGACTTGCTAATCGACAGCAGCAACAGTTGCACAGAATTAATATCAATAAAATTATAGGCGAAATATCAATAAAACAGGAGCTACTGCAACATTCCAAATTTCTGCTAACCGTATAGCAAGATATAATGGCAAAATCTTACCGAGCTCACCAATAAACTATCCAGTACATGTTCACTGTTACTAAGCAGCCCACATACTCGGTTTCAGTTCACTGCTCTTGGCATTACTAGGATGTAGATCAGAAAAAGAAATAATTTACGACGAAGCAGTCATGCTTTCTACTTATCTGATGGATATCAGATAACACAGAGTTATGACGAATATCAGGCATTAATGAGCAATACATGGGAGAGATACTTGATCAACTTCTCAATCTGAAATAATATACGCAAGCAGTACAAGCGGACGACATTAAGACTTATCCAGGGAAAAAGGAGGAATGGGATGAATGAGTTTAGCGTGCATTGATATATCACAGGTCCATTAAACAGTCCATCCAATCGACGTCTAATTAGCTAAAATTTTAAATATTCTTAACTTTGAAAAGCCATCGTACCTGTTTTTAAATCCCATACAGCTTGGAAATCATCAATTTAATGTGTTAAAGCATGAATCAGCAACTGCAATTTCCTCAACAGTTGATGCAAAGTCAACCAATACATAACGTCAGGAAGAGGAGGGAGCAAAAAACGTATCACCATGACAACTTTGATCAATCTCTGTAAAGGGTGTTACCATCTTTGAATGATTATTGGAAAATTATTAAATCCATGCTGTTGATATTTTTTGATAGTAACAATAAAATAAGATAAAGTACAGATACAGTGAATAATACACGTCCCATTTACGGAAGCCCAGATCTTACTTTTTGTTATGGGAGATGCATATATTTCCGGGTATCGTGGACCCGTTTTTACATTTAGAATTGATTTTAATTAGTTCAGTCAATGTATGAACAATCACAATGTGCCTGTAGTACCATGCTTTACTGCACAGTCCAATTAAAAAACAAAAAACCGAAATCTCAACAATACTGCACACATCACTGAAACGCATTTGCATGTTCAGTATTCAACATACACCCATAAAAAAGTAGTGCACATAGACAAAATCAGTACACGTATGTGTTGTAGACAAAAACAGGCTGTCACGAAACCGATAAGTGGTAGGACGGATGCGATCTAATGAGGGCTCGCAACCGGACGCCATTCTTCCTTACCACTGTCTTAGAATGTGTAATCTCGAACCTGTTCTAGAATGTTCCATGCCCAATTCTCTTCCTACTTCTTCCCTGCATTCTGTCTCTTTCTCTATCTTCTGCAATAGAAATTTTGACACTTCGTCTCGGTATGAGCGAAAGGATGAATTAAGACGGGGAAGTTCAGTTGTTTGCGTCATCTGAAGGGAAGGATCGTTTTGGGTTCATCCGAACGCGATATAGATCAGAAAAGAGGAATTCAACCATTGCTGTAACGAAGGCTTAGTGAAAGGGAAGGATTTGCCCACCTTAAGGTTAAGTCAAGGAAAAGCACAGTCTGATATCAACGTGTCAGAGAAATAAATGAAGTTTAACACCGCATGCATGCAGTTCACCTAGTGAGGGTTAGACGACAACACGGAGTATGATTTAGAGTGAGTCCGCTTGAATCCGACGTGAGGCATTGACCGGGAAATATGAACCGTTATCTTACAATAGGTATATGTAAAAGAAAAAAACAAGTCACTTAGCCCTCCTACTCGCCCGCAAAGCTGTTTGCACTTCGGTTGCTAATTAATCATTCAGTACCTGTGTGAACGTCATTTCGCAAATCATATCGTCGTCTAGCGCTGTTCCATTCCCACTACCTTTTTTGCTTTTTATCACTGTACAATTAAAATACTTTACGTTATGCTATTCGTTACTGTCTTTCGAATGCTATCATTTATTGTCAGAACATATTACACCAACTGATAATGACGATATTTCCAGCACAATACGATTATACCGTGCTAGAAAGATCATCGTTTCAGTTGGGGTCATATGTTCATATAGTTTTAGCGTTATTGACTTTTACGACTTCTTTGTATTATTTACTGCATTTCAGTAATGCTAAGATGTACAAATATTCAAGGTTTCTTATCTTTCTCTATGACATATTGGATGTTCTTCATGGTTACGGTGGGATTCGCTGCATACGTTGATAAGTGTAAATACTGCTCGCTTGTTGTGGAAACATTCAAAGCGGTTTGTTTCATAATGGCTGGTACTATTCAAAACTGACAAAGTTGCCAAGTGTTATTTGACATTTTGACAATGTAATATACGTCCCAGGATGTTGGGAAGTTTTTTTTACATCAACCGCTGCAGATTGTTGGTTTGGTGGAGAGGGTTGTCATTTAAGAACTAATTGTTTGTTTGAGATAGATGTTATTTATACATAAAACTGGTCTATTTTGCAGGGTATGAAAAAAACGGAGAATCAGCACTTTGCTGGTGGAAATACTGATTGGGAGGAGAGAAAGTTAGGAAAGTTTTCCAAAAGGTTCGTCCATATTTTTAGAATTTTCCTATGTCAAAATTATTTTGGATAAAATTTCTACTTTTAATAGCTAACTTTGGTTGTGTCACGTTGTGATGTTTAGGCTTTGTGAGTACTTTCCAAATCCAAGTGAGCTTTTTGGTATTCTAACCAAACTTGTCCTAGTACAGATTGTTTAAAGGTTTTCCGCTAAATGTAAAAGACTAGTTCGTGGAGTCATAGTTTACAAATGTGTAAACTAATAACGGAGAGTGAGGAAAATCGATTAATATTCATAAAGTTAAGGTAGTTTTTCTGTGGACTTTTTGCTTTTCTTTCAAACGGGAATTTTTACGGTAAAATTTGGGGATTAAATATTTACTAAAAGTTTATAGCTCTGTATAATCTTTGTTGCTTTAGTGAAACAAGATTGGTAGAGGTTATGGAGCATTTATGCAAGACGAAATATTTGGATGATTCGGATGAGTTTAGAAATGTTAAGGATGTCGAGTTCAAGGTATCTGAACTGCTACCAGCAAAATTCGATCAGGAAAAGTACCCATTTTATTTGAAATAGTGTATGTTTCTAAAAGAACAAAATTAATTGTAATGATATTGCAGTGTCAGCAGTTAGTTGAAGAACATGAAGAAAGCATTGAAAACTGGTACTTTCACAAACAATTTTCCAACCCTGATTTCCTGAAGTGGCTTTGTCACGAAAAGTTGCGATTATGTTGCGATAAAGGGCATTTTGGCACAGATTGTAAACCTTGTCCTGGTATTGACAAAGGCCTACCAGCTTGCTCTGGTCATGGATCCTGTCAGGTTTTCTTTGATTATCCACTGCCGGTTT